CCTTGCAGCCTCCACTTTCTGTTTCATACCTGTTCAAGGGACTTGCCCACCATCTGGAGCTTGTCCAGCGGAAGCGACCGCAGGTCCACGCCCTTGTTCTGCTGAGCCATTGCTTCTGTGTAGAGTGGTGGTGGTGGTGGTGGTGGTGGTGTGGGGTGGTGGTGGTCGGCTGGTGGCCGCCTCGCTTGTCTTCCCGCCTGTTTCTTGCCAGCTGTCTGGACGGTCTGCCTACGATGAGGCAGACGGCGCGGAAGCGATGATCAAAGGGGAAAACAAGCTGATCGAGTATAATCGAGTGCTACTATGAGGATATTGCTACTGCCACATAATAACCCCCCCCCCCCCCCCTCCCCCCTCTTCCTCGCATACCTCGGCACGGGCGGCGGTGTATGCATTCGCGGATCGATCAGCCGCGTAGCTGCTCCACACTCGCCCCCTTTGGTCGCTGCTCAAAGACGGGCCAAAGGCGGAAGAGGGTGTTTGAGCGGACAAAGATGTTCATGTCGAGCCTGTCCTGACCGAACCCCCTTCCCCCCCCTCCCCCCCCTCTCCTTAGGTCTTTTCTACCCAATCAACCCCAGATCGCCCCCCCCCCCAACCCTCTGCCTCTGCCTCTGCCTCTGCCTCTGCCTCTGCCTCCGCCCGCGCCACAAACGCCGTTGGCCGCATGAACCGCCGCCGCCGGCCGCCACCCCACCCCGTCTGCTTCCCGTCACTCCACTCCCCCCCTCCCACACCCCACTACCCCCCCCCCCCCCCCTCCCCCCCTCCCCCCCCCCTCTATAACCTCCCATCCTCAACACTACGAGATATGGAGCGCATCTGGGAGCCGTGCCTCGGGGTAGACGACCCACAGGCGGCGCTGGAGCACCGGTTGATCGAGCTGTTGGTGGTGGCACTGGACGCAGAGTCGGACAATGTATGGGCCTCGCTGACACAAGCGCTTGAAGCCTTTCCTCGTCATGAGCTGGTCTCTGCTCCCTCGTTGCAACTCGTTCATTATCTTCGCAGAGCCCACAAGGCACTGGCGCATGCTCCTTGGAACTCGCCTGCGGGAGGTGTGCTCGACGAGCTCCGCCAGCTCTTCCCGCGCGAGCTGCGTGTTCTCGACCGTCCCTCGCTGGCGCCACTCCGGTCGCGACCGACGACGGCTGCGACGCGGAGCTCGAGTGCATCGACTCGCGCTGCCCGTGCTGCACACAAGCTGCGGGTGACGACAGCAAGCTCGTCGGCGATGGTGGCGAGAGCGGGCAGAGGTGGCGCGAGCGTCGGGCCCACGCCGCCGTCCAAGCCGAACCCCACGCTCTTCCGGTTCGACATCTCACAAGTCTACCCGTACGATGTGTCACAGATGGCGCCTGCGACGGCGGTGACCTCGTCGGTCTCGCCGCACTTTGTCCGAGTCAACGCGCCGCCACCGACCGAGGTCCAAGCCCAGCTCGAGCTCGAGTCGACGGTGACGCGGCTGCACTCGCCGACCAAGCCGACGCAAGGCTCAACGGAGGCATCACTGCTCCCGCCGCTGGGCGCGTCCGGCACGAGCTCGGTGGCGCCGCGAATGCGGCCGCTGTCTGCGTCGCGCGACACGCGGCGGACGCGAATTGCGCAGTCGTGGGCGCAGCTGCTTGACGCGGCTGCGGCGTCGCCATATGCGCCGCCAGACTTTCGCCCACCGACGGCATCGCTGGAGACCGCCGATGCACCACTGGGCATTCAAATCTCGGCCTCACTTACACCGGAGGCGGACGGAGACGACGAGGGAGAGAGCGAGGCGACACCACTCGACACACTGCTGCGGTCGATGCGGCCGGCCACCAAGCCGGCGGCGGCGCTTGTTCCAGACTCTGTGGCAGCGCTGCGGTCTGTGGCCATCACCCCGGTATCTGCCCGCAAGATCGACACAGCGCTGGCAGTGTACCCAGACTCGCCGGCGTCGCTCTCCTCCAAGGCGCGGATTATGGCCGGACCGCTGGACACTGTCGGGCGCAACGCCAACACGCTGCCTGTGCTAGAGGAGCTGTTCAATGTCAAGACAACTGCGCTGCCGCAGGACGCGGGATGGGCGGAGTCAAAGCCGGAGTCAGGGTCGGGACCGTGCTCGCCTCGGGCGTCGTCTCCGGCCGGCTCGGCGTCGTCGGCGTCATCGTCGTCGGCAGCGTACTCGCCGGCAGCATCTGTGGGCGGTGCATCGTCTCGGGCGTCGCATCTCTCGGCGGCTGACGCTGTCAAGCTGTGCAAGACGGCCGAGCATGTGGTCGAGTTCTTCTCACACTCGTGGCCGGGCGACCCGGTCAAGTTTGTGCACCTCGTGTCACCGCCAGCATCACTCGAGTACCGGCCGTACAACTTGCGAGTGGTCGATGCGGCGCGGCTTGACCGCGAGCACTACACTATGTCGCAGATGGGCGTGGTGCATGTGGTGCCCGGCGAGGCGACTGAGTTTACGCCGCTTGCCGGGTGGGTCCGGGCTGCCTCGATGTTCAACGTTGTCCGCAAGATCCCGTTCTTTGCCAACTTTATCCGCCACAAGCTCCTTGCGTCGTGGAAGGCCAACGTGCGGTTCAAACTCTTTTGCGAGACGCGCGATGTGATTCGGGCCAAGCTCTTTGCGGCGAATCCGTCGTTCCAGGGCACGCTCCGCGAGGTCCAGTTTCTGGCAACGGAGATCTGGCGAGCGCCGCTGCTGGAGGTCGAAGCCAACACGACTCACACAGCGAGCACGTTTGCCGAGGCACAGGCGACGGCGCGGGAGACAGCCAAGGACATGATAACCGACATTGCGCTCAAGCTGGAGCAGCACGTGCTTGTGCTCTGCGAGGCCGTGCTGCGGCGGACGCAGTGGTCGGACGCGCCGATTGAGGCGCAAAAGACGGCTGCCAAGAAGGCCTTTTCGCTTGTGGCGTCGTCGGCGTCGTCCAAGCTCAAGTCGATGGTGGAGGAGAAGGAGGAGTACCTCGCCAAGCTGGGGGCCATTGCGCAGGCGGCCGACGAGGCACAGTCGCTCGGGCGGTTTATCCGGCTTGTCGACTACCTTGCGGTGGAGGCGCTTGTTCACAACGTCCAGGCCTCGCTCGAGGCGCTGCTGAGCGTCATGACCCGTGGCTCGGACGAGGGCGTGTTCTCGCTCGACGTGGTCTTTGCCAACAAGGCCATGAGATTTGAGCCCGGCCTCCCGCACTTGCTCAACATGGTCGACTCTGCGTACGACTCGATGACGGCGGTTGCGGCCTCGTTCCTCCGCATCATCACCATGCGCTCTATGCGTCAGTACCTTGAGCCGTCGACGCTGGCGCACCTCGAGGGCGTGTCGGCGGCATCGGGCTACTCGCTGGCGGACCCAGCGGCGGCGGCGGTGGCGCGGTTCACCACCGGCGGTGCGCGGCGCGGGCAGGATGCTCTCCGCGACCTGCACTCTATCCGACACCTGCTCTCGCCGGCAGCCAACGCGCGTATCAACGGCCTGCTTGAAGCCATCCATGCCACAGTGGAGGCTGACTATTCGGCGGCGTACTTTGACGCGCGAGTCCTCACCCCGCTCCTCGACATTCATACGTACGGGCAGCAGTGGTCGATGGAGGCGTACGCGGCGTCCAAGCCGTCGGCAGCCAAGCTGCGCGAGGACCTCGCCATGGTCTCGTCGTGGGTTCTCGCTGTCTCGCGAATGCGCAAGTCGTCGGTGGTCGGCATGTTTCGGGTCGACTCGACCCAGCTCAAGCTTGGGCTTGTTCCGGTCCCATCATGCATTCTGGCGGAGATGAAGGAACACCTGGCAGCAGCAGCGCACGAGGCGTGCGAAGCAACGCTCAACAACATGCTCAACACGCGTTCAAAGCTGTTGCGGAAGCCCGACCAGCTGCGGGCGTTTGCCGAGTTTGTCGACTTTGTGCGGACGACGCAGGCGTCGCGGGCGGCGTTTGACGGCGCGGCAGCCAATGTCGATGCGCTCTATGAGCTGATGCGGAGCCATAATGTGGAGATCGATATCCCGAACCGGATCCTCATTGAGGAGCTTGATGCGGTCCGCGACTCTTTCGACGAGGTCGTCGACGACGCAGAGCGGTATGCCGAGTCTCGGCTTGCCGAGATGAACGTCTCGCTCAACAAGCACATTGCGTCGCTCGAGCACCATGTGGTCTCGATTCTCTCGGACCTCTACACCGGCGACTACGTCGATCCCGAGGCGCAGCCTGTGGCTGTCATCGAAGAGCTCAACGATGTGGAGGCATCGCTCAACGCGGCCAAGTCCAAGGCCGAGACGTTCTCCGGCTGGCAGTCGCTGTTTGAGGTCGAGTCGCCGCACGCGTATGACTCGCTCACGGACGCCATGGACGTGTACACCATGCGGCGGACGATTTGGTCCGAGCTCCATGCGTGGAATGACAACGTGGCGAGCTGGCGATCGGCAGTGTTCCGGACGGTCGACACCAACGAGGTGAAGGCTGCGGTGCAGACGTCGTACGCCAAGGCGTTCAAGATGGCGCACAAGCTGCCGGACGACCCGGTGGTGGCGCTGTGGAAGTCGTCTGTGGAAGAGTTCAAGCTCCATCTCCCGCTCATTCTTGACCTTGGCAACCCGGCGCTCAAGCCGCGGCACTGGCGCAAGATCTTTGCGGCGCTCGCGGTGCCGTTTTCAGATGCGCTTCGGTTCTCGCTCGCGGACCTCTTTGAAGCCAACGTGGTCTCGATCCGTGAACTTGTGGCGGAGCTCTCTGCGGCGGCGTCGGGCGAGTATCACCTCGAGCTCACGCTCACCTCGATCCAGGACGCATGGAAGGGCGCAAAGTTTTCTGTGCTCCCGTACAAGAAGAAGGGCAAGCTCGTCCGCCGGGTCTACATTCTGGGCTCGGTCCGCGATCTTGTGGCGCAGCTCGAGGAGCACCAGCTGGTGCTCACAACCATTCTCGGCTCCCGGTTTGTGTACGGCATCAAGGGTGCGGTTGACGAGTGGGTGGGCAAGCTCAACGCGCTTGCGGCGCTCCTTGATGAGTGGCTGGCGTTGCAGCGCAACTGGATGTACCTGGAGGTCATCTTTGTGCAAAAAGACATCCAAGCGCAGCTGCCTGCCGAGACCAAGACCTTCCAGTCTGTCCACGAGCTGTGGGTCAAGTTTATGCAGGGTGTGGAGGCAAACCCATCTGTGATGTCGGTTCTTGCCGACGGCGCCAACGCGCAGCAGATGTTTGCCCATGCGAACGCTTATTGCGAGAAAGTGCGCAAGTCGCTGCAAGAGTATCTGGAGACCAAGCGGTCTGCTTTTCCGCGCTTCTACTTTCTCTCCAACGACGAGTTGCTCTCGATTCTGGCGCATATTCGCGAGCCGCGGGCTGTGCTGCCGCACCTCAAGAAGTGCTTCTCGAACCTGGTGAGCCTCCGGTTTGTCGGGGGTTCAGGAGCCGAGCGGCTGGGCGCGGAGCGGCTCTCGGTCTTTGCCATGTCGTCGGCTGAGGGCGAGGAGGTTGAGTTTGTGGAGCCTGTGTCTGCGGCAGGCAACGTCGAGGTGTGGCTGGTCAAGGTAGAGGACATGATGCACGAGACGCTTGCGTCGCTGACCGAGTCTGCCATGCGGGCGTTTGCGGCGCGCGGCTCGATTGCCGACCTCCTCTCCGAGTATCCTGCGCAGGTCCTCCTCGCCACCGAGGCCATCAACTGGACTGCCGGCGTTGAGTCGGCCATTCGGCGCGAGTCGCACCCAACGAACCCACAGACCGGCGCGCTCCACTACTTCCAGGACTCGTTCAACCTCCAGCTTGAGTCGCTGGTGGCGCTGGCAAGGAGCTCTGAGTTGTCTGCGCTGGACCGGGCGGCGCTTGCGGCGCTGATTGTGGCTGACGTGCACGCGCGTGATGTGGTGGGCGCGCTGGCGGCGTCGCACACGGCGTCGATCGACGACTTTGGCTGGCAGAAACAGCTGCGGTACTACTGGGAAGACGACGGGATGATTGTCATCCGACAAACGTCTGCTGTGTTTGACTACCAGTACGAGTACCTCGGCAACACGGCACGACTGGTGATCACGCCGCTGACGGAGCGATGCTACCTGACTCTGACGTCTGCGTTGGCGCTGTCGATGGGCGGAGCGCCGCTGGGCCCGGCAGGGACGGGCAAGACTGAGACGACCAAGGATTTGGCCAAGGCGCTGGGCCAGCTCTGCGTGGTGTTCAACTGCTCAGACGGGCTGGACGTGGTCATCATGGGCCGGTTCTTCTCGGGCCTGGCGCAGACCGGGGCGTGGGCGTGCTTTGACGAGTTTAACCGGATCGACATCGAGGTGCTCTCGGTGATTGCGCAGCAGGTGCTCACCATCCAGCAGGCGCTCATGGGCAGGGCGGCCGAGTTTGAGTTTGAGGGCTCGCTCATTCCGCTCGTGCCGTCGTACGGGTGCTTTGTGACGATGAATCCGGGCTATGCGGGGCGGACCGAGCTGCCAGACAACCTCATGGCACTGCTGCGGCCTGTGGCGATGATGATTCCGGACTACGCACTCATTGCCGAGATCATCCTGTATTCGGAGGGCTTTTCGGGCGCTACGCGGCTTGCGTCCAAGATTGTGACGATGTACAAGCTGGCGTCTGAGCAGCTCTCGCAGCAAGACCACTATGACTTTGGCCTGCGTGCGCTCAAGTCTGTACTGGTCATGGCCGGCGCACTGAAGCGGCGGGCGGGCGCGGGCGAGTCGGAGGAGGTTGTGCTCATTTCCGCGCTTCGCGATGCGAACCTGCCCAAGTTTCTCTCGCAGGACATTCCGCTCTTCCTGGCCATCATTTCGGACCTGTTCCCAGACGCTGACGCACCAGAGCGAGCTGAATCGCAACTGCAGTCTGCGGTTGTAGCTGCACTCGAGGCGGATGATCTCGAGGCCGAGCCTGCGTTTGTTTCGAAGGTCATGCAGCTCCATGAGACACTGCTTGTGCGACATGGAGTGATGCTTGTGGGCGGGACCGGGACCGGCAAGACGACGTGCTACGAGGCGCTTGCGCATGCGCGGTCGCGGGTGGCGGTTGCGGGCCGCTCGAGCGCCTCGATCTACGGCTCGCCGCACGGGATCGGTGGGCGGAGCCGCGGGATCGGCGACGGCGGTGGGGTCGGCGACGAGGCTGGAGTTTTTGGTGTGCGGCTCAATCCCAAGGCGTGTGAGCTGTACGGCAACTTTGATGCCACCACCAATGTGTGGAGCGACGGCGTGGTTGCGTCTGTCGTGCGCGAGGTGCTTGCGCTCGAGTTGCGGGGCACGATGTCCAACTCGGCGATCGAAGTCTCGCGGACGGTGCCGTACTTTCCTATCGAGGGCCGACCGGAGGTTGGTGGATGCACGTTTGGCGGCCCGTTTGCGAGCTCTGTCCCGATTCCGTCCGACTCGGGTGTGTCTGCGGCGCGGGCGGAAAAGTGGCTGGTCTTTGACGGTCCGGTCGACTCGCTGTGGATCGAGGACATGAACACGGTTCTCGACGACAACAAGATGCTCTGTCTGGCATCTGGTGAGCGGATTAAGCTGCCGGAGACACTGCGGATGCTGTTTGAGGTGCCGGACCTTGCGGTGGCGTCGCCGGCGACGGTCTCGCGGTGTGGAATGGTGTTTATGGAGAGCGTGCACCTCTCATGGCATGTCCAGCTTGCGCCGTGGGAGCGTGCCACGGTTCGGAGCGGCCTGCTCTCTGCAGCCGAGGCAAGGCGGGTGGCGAGCGTGCTGCGCGACTCTATTCTGCCTGCCGCCCTCGCGTTTGTGCGCCGCGACGACGTGGTGAGCGGAGGGCATCCTGCGCCAGAGACCGGGATGGTGGCGTCGTGCCTGACGCTGCTGACACAGCTGCTTCGCGAAGGCGTGCCGACCAAGGTGTTTGGGGCGGGCGAGGACGATGAGCCCGCGGGCGAGGGCGAGGTCGACAACGAGGCCACCAGCGAGAGCGGAAGCTTGGGTGGCGTGTCGCGGGCAGACCGCGACGCCGTGAGCATGTACGTGCTGTTTGCTGTGGTGTGGTCTGTGGGCGGGTGGCTCGACGCGGGCTCGAGGGCCAAGTTTTCGGCGTTTGTGGCGTCGAGCGCCGAGTTTGCGGCACTTGTTCCGTCGCTGGCGTCGTACCTTAGCCATGCCGAGTCTGACTCTGTCTTTGACGTGTATGTGCAGGAGCTCGCGCCGCTTGGCCTCGGCAGCGGGGCGCGGCTGGGGACATGGAACAAGGTGCTGGACGCGTCGCGGTTTGTGTACGACCCGCGAGTGGCGTTCTACGACACTTTTGTGCCGACGCGTGCTGCAGTGCAGTACGGTGCCGTGATGCAGCTCTATCTCCGCGGGCAGCGGTCTGTGATGGTGACCGGCAAGTCCGGCGTGGGCAAGTCTGCTACGGTGGGCCGACTGCTGGCATCTGGCGGGCTCGGTGGAAAGAGCGTGGCGAGCGTGGCGTTCTCAGGCGCGACGCGCGTGGCGACGCTGCAGGACGGACTGGAGGCAAAACTTGTGAGGCATTCTGCGACGGCGCTCGGACCGCCCAAGGGTGGCGAGCAGTTGGTCTTTATTGACAATCTCAACATGCCGAAGCGCGAGGTGTGGGGAGCAGCGCCACCGCTGGAGCTGCTTCGGCAGCTTGTAGGATTTGGCGGCATGTTTGACCGACAGCGGCTGCAGTGGGTCAAGCTTGTGGCGACCGAGTTTGTGGGCGCGATGGCGCCGCCGGGCGGTGGAGCGTCGGAGGTCTCGCCGCGATTGCTGCGGCTGTTCGCGCAGCTGCACATGGCGGAGCCCGGAAGAGAGGACATGCTGGAGATGTTTGAGCCGATTCTGCGTGGTTTCCTGAGGTCGTTCAGCGAGGAAGTTGTGGCGCTGGCGGAGCCGCTGATGGTCGCCACCATCGATCTGTTTGTGGCGATCCGAGAGGAGCTGCTGCCGAGCCCGTCCAAGTCGCACTACACGTTCAACCTGCGGCATGTCTCGCAGGTTGTGCAGGGCATGCTCCAGCTGCGGTCGCTGGGCGAGATGCCTGCACCTGAGAGTGTGCTCCAGCTGTGGGCGCACGAAGCGTGTCGCGTGTTTGAGGACCGGCTGGTGTCGAGCGGCGACCGAACGTGGTTTGAGACGACGCTGGGGTCTGTGGCGTCTGCAAAGCTCGGTGTCTCGTGGCCGCGGCGGGTGCTGAGCAACGTGCTGTACGCAACGCACTTGCGGGCCAAGAACCCGGGCTTTTACGCGCCGCTGGAGTTGGAGGACAGCGGGCTGGACAATGCTGCTGCCGCGGCGAGCCAGTTTGTGGCCGAGTACAACGTAGAGCACGCGTCCGAGTCGCCGTTGGAGCTTGTGTTCTTCCGGGATGCGGTGAAGCACCTTGCGCGGATTCTGCGGATTTTGAGGCAGCCGCGCGGGTCTGCGCTTCTGCTGGGGCCCGACGGGTGCGGGCGGCGGTCGCTTGCGCGGGTGGCAGCGCACGTTGCTGGCTACGAGGTGGCAAGCGTGGAGCTGTCGAAGGGCTATGGGCCAGCCGAGTTCCGCGAGGACGTCAAGGGAGTGCTTGGCCGGGCCGCGGCTGGGAAGCATGTGGTGTTTCTCCTCTCCGACGCACAGATGGTGGATGAGGCGTTCTACGACGACGTGTCCAACTTGCTCAACTCTGGCGAGGTGCCGCAGCTGTACTCTGACGACGAGGAGGCAATGCTGGTGTCGAGCCTGCGCGATGCTGCCAAAGAGGCTGGCGTGGACGGCTCGCGGCACGAGGTGCTCGCGTATGCAGCAGACATGGCGCGGGAGCACTTGCACATTGTGCTTGTGATGTCGCCTGTGGGATCTGGCTTCCGTGCACGGATCCGCCAGTTCCCTGCGCTCGTCGACTGCTGCACCATTGACTGGTTCGAGACGTGGCCGCGGGAGGCGCTGCTTGCTGTAGCACGGGCGCGGCTGTCGAGCTCCGAGGCCGTAGTCCGGGTGGTGGGCGACGCCGCGGCACTCGAGAGTGTGGCTCAGGTTGCTGTGAGCATGTACCTGAGCGTTGCGGAGAGCACGGCGTCGTTCCGGGCGAGCGTGCGGCGTGCGGCGTACATCACACCGGCATCGTTCTTGCGGATGCTGGAGCAGTACGAAGTGCTTGTGGGCAAGCGGCACGCGGCGCTGAGCACGCGGCGCGAGCACTTTGAGTCTGGCGTGGAGCAGCTGGAGGTGTTTGACGGCCTTGTGCGCGAAATGGAGGAGGAGCTCAAAGGCATGCAGCCGGATCTGGAGAAGGCTGCTGCCGAGGCAGCGGCGATTCTGGAGCAGGTTGCAGCCGACCAGGGCAAGGCTGACGAGGTCAAGGCGCACGTAGAGGCGGAAGAAGCAGCGGTGGAGGCGACGACCAAGGAGATGCAAGTGCTCCGTGACTCTGCGGCGTCGGACCTTGAGGAGGTGATGCCGATCTATGACGACGCGTTGCTTGCGCTTGGGGCGCTTAACCGTGACGACCTCTCCGAGGTTAAGCAGTACATCCGGCCGCCGGAGCTTGTGACAACTGTGATGGACGCGGTGTGCCTCCTGCAGGGGATCAAGCCCGGATGGGCCGAGGCGAAGAAGATGATGAACAAGGACTTTATCTCGACGCTGGAGCGGTTTGACAAGGACCACATTCCGGAGGAGGTGCTGCGGAAGCTGGGCAAGATGCTGCGGAACCCGGACTTTAACCCTGAGACCGTGGGCCACACGTCGATTGCGGCCAAGTCGCTGTGCCAGTGGGTCATTGCGATCGAGAACTACGCGCGGGTGTTCAAGAAGGTGGAGCCGAAGCGGATTGCGCTGGCGGAAGCCGAGGCCCAGTTTGAGGAGACGATGGTTGCGCTGACGGAGAAGCGGGCCGAGCTGGAGAGCGTGCAAGCGTCTGTGGACGCGCTGCAGGCCAAGTATGAGGCAGCGTGCGGGCGACAGGAGTTTGTGGCGTCGCGAATTGCCGAGACGCAGGCTCGTCTGGAGCGCGCGGCCAAGCTGGTGAAGGGACTTGGCGGCGAGGCCGCGCGGTGGCGTGCGACGCTAGCGGAGTTGACGGCATCAAGCTCTGTGGTGGCGTACGACATGCTCATGGCTGCGGGCTGGGTGACGTACCTGGGCGTGTTTACGCCCGAGTACCGAAGCCAGCTGTTTGCTGGATGGATGGCTGCGGCGGGCGAAGCGGGGCTCCCGCTCTCGCCGGCGGCTTCGCTCTCGCTGGGCAACTTGCTTGCCGAGCCTGTGGAGGTGCGGTCGTGGGTGCTTGACGGGCTGCCTGGCGACGAGTTTTCTGTGCAGAACGCGGTGCTTGCGCGGGAGGCTGTGGCGTGGCCGCTGTTCATCGACCCGCAGGGCCAGGCTGCGGCTTGGGTGCGGGCAATGGAGGCCGGGGCCGGGCTTGTGGTGACCAAGGTGGACGATGGCAAGCTGCTCCGGCTGCTGCAGTCTGCGATACCTGTAGGCGCGCCTGTGCTTATTGAGGGCGTGGGCGATGAACTTCCGCCTGTGCTCCTCCCGCTGCTGAGTAAGAGCCTGATCAAGGTCAACAACCAGGTGTGCGTGCGGGTGGGCGACGCCGAGGTGTTTTATCACAGCGACTTTAAGCTGTACCTTGCGACGCGGTCTGCCAACCCGAGCTACCTGCCACAGGTGTTCAACACTGTGAATGTGGTCAACTTTTGCGTGACGCGGTCGAACTTGACGGACCAGCTGCTGGGTGATGTGATCCGACTGGAGCGGAACGAGCTGGAGCGCGTGAATGACGAGCTGACCGTCTCGCTTGCGCACGACAAGAACGCGCTCGCCGAGTCTGAGGAGACGATTTTGCGGATGGTTGCGGCGGCTTCATCTACCATTCTGGACGACGACACGCTCATTGACGCGCTCGACGAGTCGCGGGCGACAGCCGAGGTGATCAAGAAGCGGGTGCGAGAGGCCGAGGCGACGCGGGCCAACATTGCGGCGGCACGGAACGAGTACCTGCCTGTGGCGCGGGTGGGCATGCTGCTCTACTTTGTGCTTGTGGACCTGGGGAGCCTCGATTCGATGTACCAGTTCTCTCTGGCGTTTTTCTCTGGCCTCTTTGCGCGGACGCTTGCATCTGTGCCTGCGCTAGCCGACGAGGCAAGCGATGCCGAGCTAGGGCAGCACCTGAGCGTGCTGCAGGATGCTCTGCTGCGATCGGTGTACTCTGCGGTTGCGCGCGGGCTGTTTAAGAAGGACACACCGCTGTTCTCGCTCATGATTGCGGTTGCACTCCTCCGCGAGACCGGGGCCGTGTGGGACGAGCTGTGGGCTGTCTTTGTGGCACCAGGCGTGGTGGGCTCGTCAAGCGCGCTTGATGACGGCGACGGAAGCGGGCAGGCTCGGCCGCTCTGGGTGTCTGCGAGCGGCTGGGCAGAAGTGTGCGCACTGGACAGTGTGCTGGCGCAGCGCGGGCACACCGGCCTTGCGGAGTCGATGGCGGTGGAGGCGCGGGCACAGTGGGAGGTGTGGGGCTCGAGCGACGAGCCGGAAGCCGAGGCGCTGCCGTGGAAGAGCGAGTTGGAGCCGAGCAAGGCCGGCGCGTTTGTCAAGCTGCTTGTGGTGAAGGCTGCGCGCGAGGACCGGTTTGTGGCGTGCGCAGAGGTTGTGGTGTCGAGCGTTCTTGGTGCGGCGTTTGTGGAGCGAGTGCCTGCGTCGCTGGCGGAGGTGCACCGCGACTCGAGCGCGACGACGCCGATCATTCTGGTGCTCTCATCGGGATCTGACCCGACGCAACTTGTGTTGGAGCACGCGGCTGCGGCCGGGTTTGGCAGCAAGCTGCGGATGCTGTCGCTAGGGCAAGGGCAGGGCGAACGAGCGGAAGCGCACATTGTGGAGGCTGCCAAGCACGGGCTCTGGGTGTACCTTCAGAACTGCCACCTTGCGCTATCATGGCTCCCGAAGCTCGACCGGCTTGTGGCACAGCTGGGATCGTCCATGGGCGTGCATCCCGAATTCCGGCTGTGGCTGACGTCGAAGCCGTGCGAGGCGTTTCCGGCGCAGCTTCTGCGGCGCGGGCTGAAGCTGACCAACGAGCCGCCTGCGGGGCTTCGGGCCAACTTGCTGCGGACGTTTACCAACTTGACGGAGCGTCAGTTTGTGCTGGACGAGGCGGCGTCGCCGAGCGAGTCTGCGGTGGAGCTTGTGTGGCGGCGGCTGGTGTACGGGCTGGCGTTTTTCCACGGAGTGGTGCAGGAGCGGCGGCGGTTTGGGGCGCTGGGATGGAACGTGCCTTATGGGTGGACAGATGCGGACCTTAACGTGTCACTGGCGATGCTGCGTGAGGCGCTGACGGCGGAGGTTGGCGCGAGCGGCAGCGGCTCTGAGGGCGGAGTCAGGCGTGCTGTGAGCGTGCCGTTTGACGCACTCCTGTTTATGGTCGGCGAGATCCACTACGGCGGACGGATCACGGACGAGTGGGACAACCGGACGCTGCGGAGCGTGCTGAGCGTGTTTGTGCATCCGGGGCTGGCGGAGAGTGCAAGCGAATCGGGAGTGCGGTTCCTCTCGCAAGGCGCAAATGACTACGGGGTGCCGAGCGCGAGCGAACTCAAGTCGCTAGAGAATCTGCGGAAGGCTGTGCTGGCGCGGGTGCCGGCTCACGACGAGCCGGGCGTGTTTGGGCTTCACCCGAACGCTCAGCTTGCAGCGCAGCAGGCCGAGTCGCGGGCGCTCATCCAGGGGCTTATTGCAACACAGGCTGCGAGCGGCAGAGGCGGGCGAGTTGGCAGTGGGCTGCACGGAAGCGCCGGCGAGACGGTGGCGGTGCTCATCGAGGAGCTGCTCGGGCGTGTGCCTGCCAAGCTCGACGAGGCCGAGGCGGGCAACGGGAGCCTGGGCAGCTCGCGTGGCGAGGCTGTGGGCTCGCTGGGTGTTGTACTCGCGCAGGAGATGGCGCGGTTCAACAAGCTGCTCGAGGTTGTGACAACGAGTCTCGGTTCGCTGGCGCGTGGAATCCGCGGCGAGGTGGTAATGACGTCGGAAATGGAGGCGATGTTCGAAGACCTGCTGTACGCGCGGGTGCCGAACGTGTGGGCGGCTGTGGCGTATCCGTCGCTCAAAGCGCTCGTGCCGTGGATGGACAACTTAGTGGAGCGGGTCCAGTTTATGCGCGAGTGGCTGGTGGGTGGTGTGCCCAACTCGTTCTGGCTCTCGGCGTTTTTCTTCCCGCAAGGCTTCCTCACCGGGGTGCTCCAGGAGCACGCCCGTGCAGTGCATGTCCCGATCGACGACCTCGTGTTTGTAACGCATGTGCTCGAGGCCGGCGGGCGGCGGAGCGCCGACAGCGGCGGCGTGGTGGTCCATGGCCTGTATCTCGAAGGCGCAGGGTGGGCCGAGGGCGCGCTCTGCGAGGCAACACCCGGCATGCTTGTGCAGGCCATGCCGCCGCTCTGGCTCGAGCCCAAGCTCCGGAGCGAGGCTGGAAGCGCCATGCTCCACGCGGTGGTGCCGATGTACAAGACCCGTGAACGCGCGGGCGTTCTTTCGACCACCGGGCGGTCGACCAACTTTGTTCTTGCACTCAAGCTCCCGACCCGGCGCGAGGGCGATGATGAGGTCTTTGTCCGGCGAGGAGCCGCATTGATGCTGGAGCCGTAGCAGACCGAGTGTGTGAACGATGTGACTACAGACGTGGTGTGGTGGATAGAGAGAGAGAGAGAGAGGAGGAGAGGAGAGAGAGTGTGTGTGGGTGAATGTGGCGGAGGAGTTGGACGTGGTCATTCATGACTTGGTGTCGCGGCTCGGGACTTGCGGCAGGGCCCGTGGTCGTAGCTGGCGCGCCACACGCGTCTCATCCGTTGTCCGGAAAGTAAGGATGTGCAAGCATATTCTGAACGCCACGGTAAGGACAATGGCAGAGGATGGGAATTGGTCGAGGACGAGCGGGTTGGGGTGCCTTTGCTGCGGTGGTTGGAGCGAGAGAGAGAGAGAGAGAGAGAGAGAGAGAGAGAGAGAGACGAGAGAGAGAGAGAGAGAGA